TCTCTGAAAATCCTCACACAGACATGTCTAGAGATGTGTTTCCTAGGTGATTTTCAATCTAGTCAAGTTGATCTCCATCATCCCCTCCTTCTCTTCCTCAGCGTATTCAATTTGGCTTTCTCAGGAACAAAACAGATCTTTCTCTTCATAGCTGATCAGCTTGTTTAAGAATTAATGACATTATTTTACAACAATGGCGAACACAGAAGGTATAAATAGGTTGGGACACAAATACAATCTGCTATTGCAAAATCCATAATCGTCCATAATCCAGAAGCTAGGGGACCCCCTACTCACACGCCACAGGCTGATAGCCCAGACAGCAACCCTGGACCCACCAACAGGTCTTTGCAGGGAGAATAGGTCAATAACTGTTCTGACAAATACATTAATAGGACTGAATGAGAAGAATATGTATTCAGTTCACACTGGTGTTTGACAAACACGTGAACACAATACTTGTGTGGAAATGATTTTGCTTTTATGGTTCTTCTTTTCTTTTTTCCTGGCCCAACCTTTTCAAAAGACTGGTTCTAATTTGAACTGGTTCAGTAGGATTTGAAAAACAACAACACTGATATTGTTTTCAGGGCAGTAAAAAAATTAATACTTGGGTCGGGTTTGGAGTTCAGTTAATTAGTGTCCATTTTGGTTGGTGAGTCATATTATCCTGGTCCACATTACTCCTCCCGTGAGAAGTGATTCAAAATCAGTTCTTGTCTTCTAGTTCAGAGTCTAAAAATGCCTCACGTTTCTTTTGTCTTGAGCTGTCTATATTCTAAGCAGTTCTAGTGTGCTACTCTATTAGACGCCCCACAATCACTAACAGGCAAGTGACCCTAAGCCCACTGAAGCTGACAGTGGCTGGTGGTTCATTGTATAGGTGTCCCACATACATGATTCTCATCCAGGTGCTCACAAAACAGACGGCTCCTCCCAGCTGTGGGCCTCTTCTGCTGGGAAGAGGCCCAGGCCCCTCCAGAAACTTTGTAAACTTTCCAGGGATTGGCCCTAATTTGAGTTTCCCTGATTTCTTTGGTTTGTACTTATCTCTCTGATTCTCCTCTCCTTCCGTGTGGAGTCATCATTGGCTGAACATGTTTTGAACTCAGGGAGTTGGTTGCTTTGAAAACAGAAGGTATCAGTGTCCTTATTTTAGTTACAAAGAAGCCATGGAACGTTCTCTTCAGAGCCTCAGATACCATCCCTTAGGTGTGTGAGGATGGAAGTCTGAGGACCATTCAGCGACAGCCCATCCTTTCTGTTACACACTGGACAAAGCTGCTGACGTCCACAAGTAAAATAGTGCGTCATCTATTTAATGTAAATGAAATTTATTCATGCAAATTCAATTCTCTCTGTGTGTGCACATGTATGTCGGTATACAGAAAGTTGATGTGTTTCCCCAGAGTCCATATACTAGATTCCTGGTCTGCAGTGTGGATTGATGACCTGCTGGGCTTTAGAGAAGGCGCCTAGTGGATTGGATCACAGGGGACTGTCTTGTAAGGACTAAGGCTTCTCATTCTCACGAGGAGTCCAGAGTAACCAGATTGCAGTAAGCTAGCCTGGCATCTACTTCTTGGCGTGCGCGCGCACACACACACACACACACACACACACACACACACACACACACACCCCTCCTATTTGCTCTTGGATTCCTTTCTGTGTCTCCTCCATGTTGTGATACAACCCCATGGCACTTCCTGGGCTCCAACAGAGCACTGCCTGATCATAGAGTGGAGATTTCTAGACTGTAAATTAAGTCAGAAGAAATCCTGCCACGTGGGATGGAAAGACAGTCACTAGCAACTGCTGGACGCTGTGTGTGTTTTCGCAATTCTTAGGACTTACTCTAGAAATTTCCCACCTACTCTCTCGCCCCATTGTGTTGTTTTCTAGATGTCAGCCTTCGCCTCCTAGCCAGAACCATATGGCCCTGTTGATAGCTGAAGACCCTGTATGGACTCATTTCATAGAAACACAAGCGGATTTTGATCTGCTTATGCCTACGTGTGTATTGTTATTTGCATATGTAGAGCCTGAGCATTGAGCATCATCTGAAATGTGTGAGACGACAGTTGGAAGTACCCAGCAGTAAGACCTGATACATAGCATCTACCAGTCCCCACATTTTCAATTTTCAGCTTGTTTCAAGACGCTGATGTGATGTCATGGAATGTGAGTTTTGGGGACAATAGTACATTAGCCTCTAGAAAGTCCCACCTCTCAAACACAGTGGGGGAAACGTGAGAGGTAGGCATGCATGGAAAGACTGCCCGAGACCTGCAAAGCTATTGAGAGAAATTTGGACAGTAGGGGCTAATGTCCCTAGAGCTTCTAATGAGTCTCCTTAGTTTTCGGAGGTGGATGAACATCTGCTTGATTTGCCTGGGCTAGACCCCCCCCAAATTGCTTACCCACAATGCCCCAAGAATCTCACTGGGGTAAGTAGCAGCATGGAGTGTCATCAGAACCTGAAGCAGAACTTCCTGGAAAAATGTATTCTGGGCTAACATAGACATGGAGGGGTGTGCTATCCTTTTGTAAGCTTGGAAGTGGGCTCAGGTGTATTCCCCAAGGTCTTGACTATTGGGGTGGCAGGAGGTAGCATTCCTCTGGTGGCCCTGGAGGACTGGTGGGGTGGGGAAAGGCCTGTGCAGCGGGGGCCAAGACAGAGTGTTCTCTTCTCTTTCTGTTTCTGTTTTTTTACATCCTCTCTCTCCACGGCCCCGGGTAGTTCCTCTCCTCCAACACTGAGGACACAGCAAGAATGAGGCAGGGTCTAGGTAGAACAGGAGTGTGAAAAAGAAAGAGAGAATTCCTTAGGTGGTCAGGGTACCAGAGGCTAGAGTGTGGGTGGCGATCCTTGGACAGAGCTGATAGTTTTCACTTAGTCAGACACGTAGAAACCCGCCCCGCTCATAAGGGGAGTGACTCTTCAGCGGTCACAGGGATGGGCATTTGGATGCTTCATTCAGCCAAACCCCGGACAAAAACGCTTGTGAGCCGTGAGCTGGTTCAGTGGGGAGGGGCACAGGCATTAGGGTCAGGAGGACTGGGGTGAAATTCCAGCCCTAACTTCGCCCTTGGATGACTTCGAGCAACTGACCTTGCTTTTCTGTCTTCTTCATACTGATTCTACAAAACATCTCTCTCTCTCTCTCTCTCTCTCTCTCTCTCTCTCTCTCTCTCTCTCTCTCTCTCTCTTTCACACTCTCTCTTGTATGCAAATCGTGCCGATTCTGACTGGGTCTCTTCTCAATCCACTCTTTTGTTTCTCTGTCCTGATTCCTAAGAACTGATGGCTTTGTTTCTGTTTGGGGTCAAGTAGATTCAGTATGTTATGTTACTAGATTTGGTCCTGGAAAGTAACTTTGTATGTGTAAAATCTCAGCTTTGACATGACTGTTAGGAAGGTATCGATGTTTACTTCTTGACTTGTGGGTCACCATTTTCTAAGTACTAAGAGGACATTCCACCACGTGACATCTGTCCTCGCACTGAATGTTTGGGCTATTTACTATAATGCTACTGAGGCGATTCCCAAAGGTCCAGACATGTTCTTTGCACATGTAGACATCGCTTATGACTGGCAGTGTCCAAAAGATAAAGTCCTACCTTGGGGGAACATCTATTGCTCCTGGAATTAACATAAAAACTCAGCAACCTTCCTGTAGACTTTCCAGCCTGTCCTTCTTTTCAAACAGACATCTGTCCACTAAGGCTCCTTGGCCTTTCAACCTGCTAGAGAGGACACCCATGAAGAAACTGTCCATGGGTCCTCAGCTAGGGATGGGGCTCATGTGCCGCTCCCCCATCTCTGCTGGAATGTTGAGTGCCTTGATCGTGTACAGACCTTATGCAGGCAACCACAGCTGCTGTGAGTTCAGAAGCGCAATTTTAAGTCACGTTCAGAAGACACTGTTTTCCCACAGTGGCCCCTACAATCTTTCCATCTCCGCATCTGGGATGTTACCTGAGCCTTGACGGGAGGATGTGTGACACAGGTGTCCCATTTACGTCTGAGTGCTCCACAGACACTTACTTATTCTCTGCATTTGACCCATCTGCTTCTCTTAGTGTTCTTACAATATTCTGGGCACTGTGGAGGCATCTGTTTTCAATACTGGTTTGGAAATATGCTACGTAAGAAACAGCCCATATCTTCTTACGTTTGGTTCAGTGGAGCCCACCACAGTGAATGGAAGATCGAAGATAAGCAGGTGAAGGATGACTGACTCATTCTCACACACATCCTTCAGGTTCCTTTTCTGAGGAACACGGTCAGTCGCATGGTCTCTGCCGCCATCCAGTTTGGGATATGAATCCTAATTCTGTTGCTCACAAATGGGCTTTAGCTGTGTTATTTGGCATCTTAGTTTCGTCAAGTCATATATGGAAGTCACACTAACCTCCTAGGGTTACGGATTAAGTATGAAATGGTGGTACTTAGCAGTGCCAGGCACAAATCTCATCCAGCGGAGGGCAGCTGTGATGGTTTGCCCAAGGTGTGCAAGTTACCTTGACAGTCTATGCTTGGCCCCATGAGGCTATAAGACCAGCATCTCGGAACAGAGACTCTATTATCACAGAATCAATCCACCTGAGAAGCAGGGCACTGACTGTGATCCTGTGGGCACTTTGCTTAGTATTTGTATTAGTAACTGTATTTGAAGATCAGAAGGAAGACTCAAGCCAGGCCCTGTGTCTTGAGAAGCAAGGAAACCCAACTGAACCAGGAACAGTCAGTGCATTTGACTTCTAGCATTGCACATAGGCAGGTCCTCTCTTTCCTCAATGCTGACCTTGACTGCCATCCTTGGTGACTGTTAATCAGTGTCACTGTTTGCAATTCCCCAGTACATTTGAGTTTCACAAACTCTATATTTCCCGAGCAAGAGCTCAAGCTCATCAAGCCAGTTTGGAAAAGCAGCTGATGGAGGCGCAAACCATGACTGTAATTAACAGAAAGACTTTGACCGAATACACAGAAGGGAGATGAACAAACCGTTTAATCTTGTCTTTACTCCGCTTTAGCCATTTAATCTCTGCTTTGGCTCGATACATCTGGGAGGCATATAATTTTCTAAACATTTTATTATGAATGTTCATGGTTTTTATCACCAACTGCTGATTTCGTATGTGCTTAGAAAGCATTCACTTATAGTGCTAAAGGAAGATTGAGAGGCAGTTTAGGTTCTTGCTAAGCCAGCATTCAAGGTGAACTGCTCAAGCATTTGGAGGATGCTGCCATTGACTTGAACTGTTTGGCCTTGGGGCACCTTACGGTGCCTGCTGAGGACACGAATCAGGAGGTGAAGGGTCTCTCGTAAAAGCCCCGTGTGTGCATTTGATGTGTTATGTTGAAGGATCCTGATGACGTGGCCTTTCCCCGAATTCCTGATGCTCTGGCTTGACTCAGTGCAGAAGAGCCACCAGCAGCTTCTGGAAGTCCCCAGAGGTGTCTGAGCGAACCATGTCCGAGAGAGACTTCTGATACTTCTCCTGGAACTTGGCTTTTATCCCCTGAAGGTCTACCTGTAGGAATAAAGACAACAGCGTGGGTGATAACACTGATGGTGGTTGTCGTAAAAGGCAGGCACTCTCCTAAGCCGGCATGCTCATTCACTGTAGCTTTCAACAGCCCTCAGGGGCTGAGCTGGCATTATTTACATCTTGAGGATAAGAAAAGCAAAGCCCACTTCAGCTTCCTGAAAGTAAAAGTGTCACACATGTATTCCATTAAAATTTTATCTATGGAAGCTAAAATTTAAATTGCATATACTCTCATGTGTTACAAAATAGTTTGCTTTTGAATTTTTCATAGGTATTTGAGAAGGAGTCGTTCTTGGGTAGCAGAGCTATACACATGCAGGGAGGAGGTGGGGCCCATTTGCCGACAGTATTTGGTAGAAGGGTAGGAAGATTTTCCAGATGGAGATTTGAAATTGAGCATTGCAGGCGGGAAAGATGGCTCAGCATTTACAAGCACTGGTTGCTCTTCCAAAGGACCCAGGTTCAATTCCCAGCACCCACATGGTGGCTCACAACTATCTGTAACTCCAGTTCCAAGGGATCCTGTGCCTTCTTCTGGCTTCCCTGCGCATCAGGAAGGATAATAGTTCCAGTTGACATGTTTTAAGCCAATCACCGTTTTTGGGGCTTATTTTTAGTCTAATTCGTAGAAAGCTTAAGGCCTGAAGGAAGATAGGAGGAAAATACTCCAAAGACTGTGCTGTTTCAGACTCCTTCAGCTGTAAAAGCGGGAGCTACACTAGGAAAAAACAAAACAAAACAAAACACTCCAGTCGAGACAAAACAAGTCCTGCAAAGAAACAAAGTTTTGTTTGCCGTGTTTGGGTTTTGGTTTGAACTCTGCCTTACACTCCAGACCTAGGAACCAGAGACAACCATCTGGGTCCCTTCTCTTGCTCCAGTGAGAGGCCAGGCTGAGACAGAGAGAAGAAGGAAAGCTAGGCGAGGGCCAGGGAGGAAGGGGTTGTTTGAAGAGGATGATGCTGATCTCCAGAGAGACTGCTGGAGGGCAGATGCTGTGAGTGACCCTGCTGCCCTGCTTGGGTGTCCTCTGCCTGGCTGGATGCCCAGTCCTGCGGGAGGGGTAGGATGGGTGGAGTACAGGATTGGGGCGGCTGGCATTTTGTTTTAGTGCGTATGGAAGATTAGCAGATCCCCTAAACATATATATGTGCCTGGGCCTGAAGCATCCCAAAGAGACTGGCCCCAGGTGGAGATTACCCACACTCACATGGGGTCCGTTCTGAGATGGGATTGAACATCCCATGGTCTATGTGCAAGTGAGCCACAATACCGACAAGCCTTCTGTTGGAATCCAGTCTCTCCAAGAGCCAATAGAACCCTGCTTCTCTCAAGACTTCTCTGCAACTTCGGCTAGGGGCTGTGTTACTGAGAGCTGGAGAGATAAAGAAGACAAGGCCCCCGAAAACAGAGAGAGAAAGAGAAGAGAGACAGACAGACAGACAGACAGACAGACTCACACCAGAGGAGAGAGTGCAAACTCCAGAGGAGGAACAGAGAGGCAGCTCACAGGAGTAAGCAGGAGGGGGGAGGGCACGGAGGAGGAAGAGGGGGAGGCAAAATTCCAGGAACAGAAATAAAAAGGAAAGAACTGCCTTGCCGTGGAGCTATATTTAAAAACAACGTCAGATGTTAAGTGTTTGTCGAAAGACGTGGATCAGAATTTGGGCTGGTACCTCTCCCTCTCCGCTGAACATTTTTTTTTGAAAGATGTCTGTGGTTTTCAGTTCTTTAGCTGCCTTCATTCTCCAAGGTTCCTTCCACGGCAGTGACACCCCTGCCGTTTCTCCTTTATTTCACATTCCCTTCTGACCACGGGTCGGACAGCCCAAGGCGGTCACTGTCAAGCCTGGTGGCTGCTTCCAGCTTCTGGCTACATCTTCCCCTCTCTTTCTGACACTCACGTTCTTCTCTGAGATGGGGTGTAAACTGGTCCTTAGGGGGTAAAAGAAGCCCGTTCTTTTTATGTGTAAGGCATTCATATGCATACAGTGCATAAACAGCCAGCCAGCATTATCTGTGCTGTTAAATTTGGGGGCAGGGGAAGAGATGGTAATTAGACGTAAGTCTGTCTAAAATGGCCCTTTGAGAAGGCCAGGATTGAGAAAAAGACCAAGAAACTGTTCTATTGTTTTGTTTTTGATTTTTCTTGTTGTTTTATCTTGTCTTGTCTTTCTCTGAGAAACGGTACTTCTAAGGTGTGCTCTGTTAAATAAAAGGACTGAGGACATCACTTGCGTATTATCTCCGTCTTGCTGAACGATGACCCCTTCCCATGTCTCTGGCTTGTCTTCCCTAAAATAGAGCAGGGCGTAGCTGCGCTACCTTGGAACAACTCCACCAGCTCCCCTTCACAGCGCCACCAGCCCTCTGGAGCCACAGATGACAAAAATAGAATCAACTCTTATTATTGTATTTTAATGAAAAGGAGAGAACTGAAGCAGAGTCCAACGTGTTCTGCATATTCTGGGAAGGGAAGGGCTGTCTTTGTCTTACATTTTTGATAAGTAGTCCCATCATCAATCATCATCATCATCATTATCATCACCATGTGATTTGCCAATGACATTAACTGGGGAAAAGACATTGAAGTCCCTTTTTTTAGAGTCCAGTGTATCTTACCTCAGCCCTGGTCACAATGATGCGAATTAGTGTCTCCTCGTCTGTCCCCACACCCTTCATGGCCTTGTACAGTAGTTCAGCAAAATAGCCCTCAAGGTCCTGGGCACATCTCACTGGGAGGGAGGGAAAAGGAGGATGTGAAATGTTCTCGTGGTTTGTCCAACAACCCAGGGACCCTGCATAGGCACAGAGTGTCCCAGCTGTCCGTGGGCCTTCTGGACTTGACAGGCAGAGGTTTGGAAGGACCTGACTTTATACTATTGTGAAATGAGATCTAGAAGGTTCCCTGGGTCAGGGTAGCATGGCTTTCCAACCAGAGCTGAGTCAAATCCACTATAGAATGAGGAGAATGGCCTCTATTCTCTGCAAGCTCTGGGAAAGGAGAGTGCCCCCCCCCCCACCCTCATACTGTGGAGGTCTGGAGTCTCACTCATGGACGCACTAACGTGCCACACAGGGGAACCTCTGGGGCTAAAGCGGGGCTCTGTGGGAAACACAGCTTGGCCAGCAGCCTTCCACAGCAGAACCTCTTATCTAGAAGGTTTGCTCAGCTGAACCACGCCCTGCTTTCTGTGTTCAGCAACCTCTACATCCTTTGTTTTCCTTACGGCATTTGTTTGGACATCTTTTGTATTATCCCCTGCAGGCCCCCAGCATCTTTCATCTGGTCCGTGGGGTAAAGATGTTTGTCCCCACTACTAAAGAGCCCCTCTTTATTTTCTGCTGTGCACTCCTTTCTGGTCTGCCCTAGCCTGTCAACTTTGCTCTGTTTGCAAACTGATGGGGCTTAGTGTCTGCTCATCAACCAGGCAATAGGGTGAACCTCCACACTGCAGGTAAGTGTGTGTTGGCTAGTTTTATGTCAACTTGACACAGGCTGGTGTCATCTGAGAGGAGGGAACCGCAATGAAGAAAGTGCCTCCATAAGACTGGGTTGTAGGCAAGCCTTTGGGGGCATTTTCTTAATTAGTACTTGATGTGGGAGGGTCCATCCCATTGTGAGTGGTGCTATCCCTGGGCTGGAGGTCCCATAGAATGGGAGAGCAGGCTGAGCAAGCCAAGGGAAGCAAGCCAGTAAGCAGCACTCCTCCATGGCCTCTGCTCAGCTCCTGCCTCCAGGTTCCTGCCCTGCTTGAGTTCCTGTCCTGATCCCTTTGATGATGGACTGTAATATGGAGGTGTAAGCCAAATAAACCCTTTCTTCCCCAAGTTGGTTTGGTTGTGGTATTTCATCACAGCAACAGAAACCCTAACTAAAGCAGTAAGGAAGCATTTCTCACCCCTCCTCCCAGGCTCCTAGGCATCCCCCACTACAAATGCTTAAGAAGAACGAACCACTTACTCTTTAGGTTGATGACATTTTCCTAGAAAGCTTACCAGTATTTAGGTTCTTTAAAATTAGTTTTCTGGGTTTTTTTGTTGTTATTATTGTTTTGTTTTTGTTTCTTTTTCTTTTTTCTATTCTTTTCTTTCTTTCTTTCTTTCTTTTTTTTTTTTTAGACAGGGGTTTGGTCTATAGCCTAGGCTAGCCTCAAACTCAAGAATCTTCCTGCCTCAGATAAGAGTTACAGTGCTAGAATTACAGCAGCTTTCCAATGTTAGTGATATTAATAAATTCAGTATAAGCCTGGAATGTGAGCTTTGATCTGTACTGGAGCAGTGATTTCATTTCCTAGGTCACTACCTGTATGGCTGATGTTTCTGGGTAAGAGAGAGGAGCAGAACCTAGGTTGGGAGCTAATTTCTTTTTTTTTTTTTTTTCTCAGTCCATACAGCAGCCACCTAAGTTTCAGTGGAGAACTGGAGGGCCAGGTGTTTGGTCACTTTATCGTAAGAACAGTTCCCAAATTCCTGGTTTGAGGTGGGTGGGAAGCCTGGTGTTACTCTGACAAGTGCATACTTGAGACACACTGGGGTCCCCAGGCTATTGGAGCTGCTGGCATCCACAGTTTTTCTATGCCACACAGAGCTGATGGATGTGCAAAGGTCATCTCTCTGTTAATAGGGAGTAGCAGGACTCCCTCAGAAGGTTGGGCCATGACAGCCAGGGAATATCGAAATATCGGTAATAAAACTGTTTATGTTGAGTGGAAGCCGTGACACCCGTGGCACTCCGTACTTTGATCCTCTTGCCTTCGAAGAGCAGGGCTTCGTAAACCTAACTGAGCACAAAGCCATCACCGGGGAGCTTGGGACAACGGTTTTCCAGGCTCCATCCCGTTTCTGGTTTCTCTGTGGTAAACCTGGGGTGGTGTCCAGGAAACTTTCCTCAAAGGGGATTTTGAGGCAGGTGGTTCATGGCCCTATGGAAGAAGTCTGCGTGGTGGTGATCACGGGATCTCAGCCCCTGTAGATACGAGTGGTCAAGAGATGTCTTTACAAGGTAAGTGGAGTAGGCTTGGGGCTATCGAGGAAACGCGGTCACGAAGCCATATGTATGCTCTGTGAGGTGGATGTGCACGGTCTTCTCTAATCACTTTTGCTATTGGAACCACAAGTCTATCAGCTCCTGTGGTTCACAGCGCCCAACTCTAGGGCCCGACTTTTTCCTTCCTCTTCACCATCCTTATTGTCTGTTTTCTGTCTTTCTTCAGTGTTACTTAATATATTTATTTGTGCGTGTCCTTTGTGGACATTCAGCTCCTCACAAGCAAGAACTGGGTCTTTCGTGCCTCTGATCCCACACTGAGAACAACTCAAGAAAGTGCTGTCCCGGAATGGTGGCACTGGTGTCTTCTGACTGTACTCTGGGGTCTTTCTGGTTCTCTGCCACAAGTTTAGGAAAGGTCTGGACCCTCGGGACTAGTCATCACTAACCAATGACTAGCATTCCATCCATCTGGGAGATCCTTCATGAAGCCCAAAGGACAGCTAAGGACAGCTGTTCGCACAGGGCCCAGGTGTGTTCAGTGTGGGGCGTGAGTAGTGTGGGTAACATTTGGAGTCCTGTACACCAGATTAATGTTTGCTAATCTGAATGTAAAATGAGCATAGTGGGACATTGTTTAAAATAAAGCACGTACCAAAAAAAAAAAAAAAATGTTCCCAACTCCACAAAGGGGCTTGGCAATGGGAGCACATTTTTTGGGTTCCAGGGCTACTAGTTTGGTTCTTCTTCTTCTGGGGGGAATATGTCTCTCCATTCCTGTGCCATTTGGGATGGTTCCCTGGACTCTCTACCACAGCAATGTGGACAATGGGCAGCGTCTTCATTCCAGGACTTGCAGAAAGGAAAACGGAGCATGCCAGACATGGCCCCATGCCCATCTCTCTGCTATTTCCTGCCTTTGGGCAACACCTGAAGAGAAGGTCCTGGGGTTGGCTTGGCATGGCCAAGATCTAGCCTCCCCCACTCTGTTTCTAAACAGACCTCATTCTTTGAGAACACTGAAGGGAATCCAGTGGGAAAAGGAAACCCTTTGGCCATCAGGCATGTGCAGAAACTTGTCCATGGGTCCTATCTGTGGGTGCTTTTCAGTGTGTGTCATATAAACTGTCATCATACTGCTACCTGAGCTTAGGTAATAGTCCTGGGCTTTGACAGATACTCTCCGAGACCCACACTCTCAGTACAACCACAGGAGATGCTGTGATGGACCACTTAGATGCTCTCTTTAGGATGAGGCGCTCAGGGCCAGGGGCGCTTGCTGAATGCTAACAGCTGGGTCCCTTCTCAGAAGTCACCCTCCAAGCAAGAGAGCCGGCTGCTCAGTGTCGCCAATGGTCCCACGGGTACAGACCATGTCCAGCGACTGGTTGGTGTACCGTCATTGACAGAGTGCGGAGACTTGGCTCCTTGCCTCACTTTGGACACCCCACCTTCAGAGCTCCCTGGAGAACAAAACTCCATCCCATCCATCTTCTGCCTTGCCCCATGCTGCTTAGATGTGCCACTTCCGAAATGACTCCTGTAAGGAGACCGCTGTCTCTCAGCATGGTTCCAGGGAACCCACCCTGGGGCAGCGCTCCCCTGATTTTACTTTACCTATAGTTAAATAGGCCTTCTTCAAGTCTCCCGATGTCTCTTCTTCGATGGATTCTTCCATGGCTTTGCCAATGAGCTGGAAAGACAAACACAACCCGGCTATTACTCCAGGGTTGCTCTGGCCTCAGCATCCTTCAGCTTCCTTCAAAAGAAGTGCTGCACTGTTCCAGACTTAATGCTGTGCCCTAAGAGTGCCTATCCTGCCTCTTGCATTGCAAGGTGGGATGGTTGCCCCACCCCATTCAAGGGGGGGGGCTCTCGCTGCTGAGGAGTTGACCAAGTTGACCCCAGCCAATGCCACCTCTTCAGCTTCCATTTTCTCATCTGTAAAATTAGAGAGTAGAGGGATAATGGATGTATACTACAGCAGTATTTTTTGTGTACGTGTGTGCCTGTGTGTGTTTGTGAGAGAGAGATCGGGGAGCGCACCCATTCACAGACAGTGTGTGCAGAGGCCAGTGGAGGACGACTGATGCCCTATCTTATCTCTCCACCTTATTCCTTTGAGACAGAGCCTCTTACTGAATGTAGGGAGTTAGGTTGACAGGCAGAAGCCCAAGCGATCCTTCCGTCTCTCCTCCTGCCCCCACCATAACTCTGGGGTTACAGGTACCTGTGGCCACTCCTGGTGGCTTTTTAAGTGGATATAAGATTCAAACTCAGATTCTCGTGCTCGCTCATCAAGAGCTCTTATCTATTGAGCCATATCCTCGGCCTACCACAATAATTCTTTACATGCTATAGCGTTATGTTTTCTACCTTTTCCATGGCAAGTTCCTGGGGGAAGCTGTGGTTGAAAGCCTGGCCTGTGTCTCCTTCTTCTCACCTGTCTTGGGACTGGAGACTCAGTCACTCACAGTTTGGGTAAAGAAAGGAGAGAGACTGTGAAGTTCATGATGAAACTTGATCTAATGGTTCACAACAGAATGGGGCTTCAAGGGCTGGAAGCCAGGGGCTGACCACATCAAAATGCCACTTTCCTTTACTGCTGGGTGATTGCTAATGGTCTTATACATTCGCTACTGGCTCACGTCGCTTGGCACAGTATTACACACTAGGTTTCTTTCCAAATATTTACAGAAACCAAAGTTAAAGTAAATTGTGCCTATCCTTAACACAAACACTGCGGGGCCAAGCTCAAAGAAGGCAAATAGAGAGAAAGGAATATGGTCTGCTGGGTTCGAGGGCTTTTGTCTCTTTCTTAGAAATTGTCTTTTGAAGACAGGACACAATTGGTCCTAAAAAATAATTGAGACATTTGAGTACACACTGATAGATTTGGGTTTTTTTTATTGGAAAAACAAAGGCAAACCAAACATTCTTTGTGATGTTAGGACAATATTTGTGTGTGAGTGGGTGGAGGAGAGATTTAGCAAAGCTCTTCCCACCATTCACATATCCAGAGGTCTTTTGTGACGCAGAGGACACCAGATCAGAAGGGGACAGGAGCTTTCGAGCTCCCCTCCCTGAGCTGCTAACCACCCATCTAGGGCTTGATGTGGGGAGTCAGTGCTTTAGAGGGAGGGCTATCGCTTTCCCGGAAACCGGGCTCTCATTGTGAAGACCGAGATTGTATTTCATGAGGATGTTTTGTTCACACAGGTCTGGGTTTAAAAAGCAAAAAAACCCACATTAAGCTACTTTTTGTTTCTTTTGTTAGGACAGAGCCAGAATGGTGACTTTCAGTTTTCTGTAGACTCTCAGCCTCCAGAGCGGACAAAAGTAGTGAAGTGCAATTCTAAAGAGGTGGAGGTGGGTTTCTTACCTGAGTTCTAGGCGTCAATGCCATGCTCTGACCTCCAGGGGGCGATACTCACACAATGCCTTTCTTCCTGCCTCACCCCATATTTGCTGCTCCCCAGGTAGGGATCTGTGTGGACTCGATGAACACAGTCTTGAAGACAGTGGGCTGGCCCATGCTATTAGACCCTCCTTTTCAAGCATTTCATATTAGTTCTTGAGATACCTGGTTCGTAAGGTGCTCTTTGGATGAATCTAGGTTTTCCGATCTTAACACCAAAGCAGTCTCAGGTAGATAAGTGGGTGATAGTGCCTGTATGGAGCTTACAGGAAGAGTGGAGGACACATGTTCTTCTTTTCAAATGTGTTCCCCCAAAGTGCCAGCGTGCTGGCAGTGAAAGGGCCAAAGCCTCTTGCGTGGACTTAGGGATATGTATGTATGTATGTATATATATATATGTATGTATATATATATGTATATGTATGTATGTATATGTATATGTATATGTATATGTATATGTATATGTATATGTATATGTATATATAGATATGATGACGCTAACTAGTGAGGTCCGTAACATAGAGGCCGCAAGGCTGTGCTGTGGGCATGTACACGTTCTGTTCTTACTGATCCCTGCTTGCAGAACTCACTGTGGCTCCCTAACTGTGTAAGTCTTTTGTGCTTAATAAAACCAGGACCGTGATCATTTTGCACAGTGTGGCAGTTTGAGAGGCTCTGTTGCTTGACCTGGAATCGTGGAAGGAGTCAGAAGTTAAGACTTAGGCTTAGAGGAGGTGGCAAAGGGTAAACCCCTGAGCTGTAGTGCCAAAGATTAAATCCACCTCTACTCCAGGACAGTGCACTGTGTAATGCTCTAGTAGTCACACGCTAGTATCTGTGTGCTTTTGGCCAGTGACTTATCAAAACCTTACAGGGCCTGGTTTCTAACAGCAGGGTAAGCTCTTAAAGAAAAATAACAGTAAAGCTCATCAACAGTCTAGCAATGCTTTGGGAGCTGATCTAGAGCTACTTTCCCATAAATGATTATGAAATCAGATAGCTCCCTAATTTGTCCATTGTCACTGTTGGTTACAAAGGGAAGCAACTAATAATTGCTGGTGTTTATTGAACACCAACCACATGCCAGGCACTAAGTGCTCTTGTTCATTCATTCAACCCTTGCGAATCCTAATCCTACCTAATACAATCAAACTCCTGCAGGTAGTATTAACTCTATTTTACAACTGGGGAAACCAAGGCACAGAGCTCCAATAAGCCTAGAGCTGACTTCTCAAACCTCAGCATGTGTCATATTCAAGACCCAGGCCCAAGGAAATGTGGTTCATCAGGACCAAAGAGAGGACTGAGAATTTTCATTTTAGTGGGTTCCCAAGGGATAACTGTTTATCGCTATTTGGGGATGAACTTTGTGGCCTAGATCCTAGATGCTTGTTTTTAGTAGTTTATTGAGGTAATCACTAATTCATGGAGAGAGAGAGAGACAGAGACAGAGACAGAGACAGAGAGATTCTATAGTGATCTCCAATGTTAGCCATCCTCAGAAACTCCATCTGTGGCCCTTGTGATGTGGAAAGAGGACATAGATCACATATAAGTCCTCCAGTTCAGTGGCCACGGGCTTCAGGCATGGAGAATGGGGAGGATGGGGTCAGCTGCCTTTGATCATGACACTGGGCATGATTTGAAAGCAGGAGGCTCTTAATGCTGACATACAGTAAGGCTACAATCCCAAAGCTTTGTCTTTTCATCTGGGGCCGCACACGCGTGAGGCTATTTTGAGTGAGGAGCAGCCAGCTCCGGCCGGCCAAGGTAGAGCTCAGCCGGGGAGTCCTGGAGTCCTCATCCACTTTCTGCTACTGACTTGCTGTGTGGTCCTGATAAGTTACAGATGGCTCCTTGCTCTGCAGACTGGCCTTGTCCAGCCGTTGCGGGCCACCATCAAATAACCATTCAGCCCATGCGATAGTGCTGATACTGTTGTGAAATTGAAATCAGGTGCAGAGCACAGAAATGTTTTTGAAGAGGTGAAAGCATTCCCCAGAAACAAAACAGAAGACAAAAGAAATCTGAAACTCCCTGTAGTCTTTTTGCAAATTACAGATTTTCTCTCAGAAAAGGACTTAATCACGAAGTACCTTGGAACAGCCAGCTCATTTTGTTGGCTCATGGCGACCGTGAGATTAAAAACATAATTTATGCATGTTTTTCTCAGGAGCCTTTTTCTGAGATATAGCACATCAGTCCTGTGAGGCCGACGGTAAATTGTAATCGTAAAAATGAAAGCAAACACTTGTATGCTTGCCACATGCCAGATATGGTCCTGAGCCTGCATCTGATCCCACACTTAAGATGACTCTGTGGGGATGATGATGCCCATGGTCTCTATCTCACAAAAGAGGAGGGGGAGGTTAGTCGTTGGCTCGTGGTAGATCCAGGATTTGCACCTGGACCCTCTGAGTCTAGAGCTTTGCTCCTAAACATGACACTTCTCTGCTGCCCTAGCCCTTCTGTAACCCGGAGTATCCCAACCTCAGCTCCACAATCGGGGCTGGTCAGTTCTGCACAGTTGAGCTGTTCTGTGTGTGTTTAGCAGTACCCTGGGCCTTCCTTCTCCCACCACTGAGAACCACTGATGTAAACGACCCCATCCCCGACGCTCAGTCCTACATCCCAGAGCTTGGCTTCCTTTAGGAATAGCTCCGGACCGTGTCAGAAGGAGCCCTTGAGCCTCAGGGCTTCTCTACTTACGATCTGATACGCTTGAAAGGTAGCACGCAACTGCTTGTAGCTCCTCTTGGCCAGGACCTCATTGAAGGCAAGCTCGTCCGTACCCCAGCGGCCTTCCCCTGCCTGACGGGCCAAGTGCAAACAGCGTGAAAAGAAACCAGGGGAGAAGACTGGGCAGATATTGCTGCTGACACTGGGCAGGCAGGCACTCAAATATAACGTGATGGAGAATGCTACCGCTGTCATGTCACACACAACGGCTACGCCTCCCGACTGCCAGAATGCCACTCGGTGGTTAAACACCCTTGAATTCATAGTTAGGTCATTCTCAACATATCAGAAACCGCTTTGCTATTGCTACACACGCACGCCAACTAAAGGCCTGTGTCCTCCAAAGCCCCTGACATTATTACACTATCACTTACATTGTGGTTTTCACTCTCTACCTTGTGGGCTTTTCTAGAGGTTCATGAGAAGACATACCCTAAAACAGAGATTGGTCCATCGTGATAAGAGAGAGAAAAGTTACTATCTCATCCCACGAGTGTGCCACCCATCTCATAAATACTCAACAAAACACCCTTAACACCTGCAAAGCAGACCCCACTTGGGGTATTCTCTTTTTGGGGAATCCCATTCCAATCTCTCTTTGGGGTACTTGCTTTATTAATAAACTTCTGCATATACTACCTATGCTTTTCAGCCGGATTCTTTTCTTTAAGAAGGCAAGAACCAAGAGACCCCCCTCATAAGACTGTGAGCAGGCCTCACATACAGTTATGTACAAAACATGCAGGCAATAGAAGTCTAGTGGTAGATGAGTACTTAAAGCTTCCCGCCCGCAGTATATATGTATATAACAATACCTATCTGCCTGCATTGTTATCTATTCCATCCTGTGTCCCCAAATGGATCACAGGTGGTTAACTCCAGAGTATAAGAACAGGAACAAGTCTTTATAATATGATCTAGGCAGATTGTAGCATATATTCACTTATCAAAGGACATATTTTATTCTAAAGAGACTCTCATTAAGAAATGCCTGTTAAAACAATGCCAATAAATGAAAAACCAAAAGAATGTGTGGAGCCAGGTGCATGCAAACACTTACATCATACAAATCTTTGGCATCCTGACCAGCCAGATCTTTGTCCACGGTATCTTCTTCATCTCGACTGGCCTACAAAGATGGATGTATTGCCATTAACTTAAGTACCTGCTTGACCACAGAAAAGCCGATGAGCCCTGTGATACAGGGGAGACTTTAGGGGAAAGAAGGGGGAGATGGCTGAAGCTCAGCTCAGTCTGGCAGAGCAGCAAGGACTGCTCTTTGCTGCCATCTTTTGGGAAAGACTGAAAACAGTCTAATTTCTGTGATCTCTCTCTCTCTCTCTCTCTCTCTCTCTCTCTCTCTCTCTCTCTCTCTCTCTCTCATACCTGATAATGGTAACTCACCAAATCTACAGTCTTCGGTGAAAGCTAATATAACTTCATATCCACTAAGAAGCAAGCATTCTGCCTCCCCAAATACCGCATTCAGTGGCCAATGCCAAAGAACTCTGAAAGTTGGTCGTGGGAGACTATGGACATCTAAAGAAAGCCCTGGGTGGGTGGGAGAGTGCTAAAATGACCCCAGTGACCTGAGTCCTGGTAGAATCCCCTTTCCTTGGGTGTGAATGGAGCAGTAAAGCAGATGAGATGGTGTCTCATGATGACATCGTGTCCGATAGCATGGCAGTGTTTGGCTGATGTAATCCAGGTCTCTAATCAGGCAAATGAATCCAAAGGGAAATTATCCTGGGTGACCCCTGGCCCAATCAGATGAGAGTTCTTAAAGGTCAGAGGTGGAGGCCCCGGAGGAACTCTTGCTGCTGGCTTTGGAGAAAGCAGGCAGCTGGGCTGTAAGCTGTAGGGAGCAGGAGAAAGTCCCCGGAACTGGCAATGGCCTCTGGGTGACAGCTAGCAGAGAACAGTCACATCAGGCAGAGGTCCCCAAGGAAGTGAATTCTTCCAAAGCCTTGGGTGGCTGCTAGGCTGCCAGGTTGATTTCACCGTGGTGAAACCCTCTGTGAAGGGCTCAGCTAACAGATATCTGGACCCTTGGCCCATGGGCATTGGTGGATAACGGGCCATGATGCATTGATCTGTGATGTTTGGAGCAGTGAAATGTAAGGGGATTATCCAGTCTTCCTTCTGTGGTTGAAATCTACACACTCATGTTCTCTGCCGTCAGTATGCCCAAGTGGGAGCAGTGAAATGGGGAGAGTGGACCGAGGTCTGTCAGTGAGAACTGGATGATGTCTCTCTGGAGCCTCAGGGGCCCATGTCACAGAAGATCTTAAAGACCCATTCTGTTTATTCTCACCTGGAGCAGAGACACCAGAATCTTTCTTAGATTTCCGCTTGTATCGTCTTTGACATCAGTTTCAAGGCTCTTGCCAAATACTTTTGAGGAAGAAAAAGGGAAAGAGGAAAGTGGATGACTGAGTTACCAGCAGTGTTAAAAACAAAAACAAACAACAAAACTTAATCCAAAGCTGGAACAAAAATTACTTACGCTTTTGGTAGGCTTCTTTGATGGCGACAATTTCCTAGGAAGATGGATGAAAAAATTAATGTCTATGCTGGGAGTCAATAGGAAACAGAGATGAGGCAGAGGTCCATCTCCAGATGCAGGAGGCCTTTGTGACTTTCTATTGAGGTGGTTGTCCCTACAGAGCAGGGCACACAGGCCCCTGGGGAATCTGCTAGTGTAAAATGACCTTCTCTGTGTAAGCACTTCAAACATGTAAGTAGTGTATGCATACAGTCTCCTTAGAAATGGAGTCAACTTGGGGGACCAGTCACCAGACAAATGAAGACAGTATAGTCTATTTATATTATGGGATAACATTCGTCCATAAAAAGAAAGAAATTCTGTCATCTGAGATAACATGGTTGACTCTGGAGTACAGTGAATGGAATAATCTAGACACAGAAAATCACGCACCCCGTGAACTCACTCATTTATGGAATATGAAAACGGCAACCTCATAGGTATGGAAAGTAGAATGGTGGTTACTAAAGGCTGGAGAGCCAGGGGTCAGGGAGGAGCCAATGGTACTACGTTACAGTGTGTGGTAGTTTGAATGAAAAATGTCCCACGTGACTCAGGCATTTAAACACTTGGTCCCCAGTTGCTGGCTCTGTTTGTGGAGGCTGTGGGTAAGTACAGCCTTGCTGGAAGAAGTATGTCACGGGGAGAGGCCTTCAAGAGTTTACAGCTTCATGCTATACTGCTGTTGAATGCAACTGAATACTTGTGCTGCTATGACATCCTGCCATGGTGGGCTTTTATCCCCCTGGAACCTTAAGTTACAATACCCCCCTCCTGCCATGAGTTGCTCTTGGTTTGGTATTTTATCACAGCTAAAGAAGCCCTGATACGCAGTGAGGCAGGAATGAGAAGTTCTAGTACGCACAGTAGAACAACTGAAGTTAACAAGAATATATTGGATATTTCAACACGGCTAGAAGAGAGGGCCTTGAATGTTCTCACCATAAAGGCAATGATGACTATTTAAGGTGAGGGATTCACTGGTTCTTCAAACTTGACCATGACGGTTTGTCTATATGTATCAAAATAACACACCTTAGCCCAAACATAGCTACGACGGTGACCGGCAATTAGTAAGCGGAAGGTAGGAATATTCCAGCTAAGCTAGGGCTCTGCCTGTCTCTTAACCCAGTCTCATTCCCTCATCTCCACCCACGCAGCCAAGGTTAGAGTTCAGAGTGTATTTCTCTGTCCTGGATACGTGTATATATGCTTACTGTGCTTCCTCCAAGCCAAACGCCAGCCATCTCTGTAAATTCAGCCATACCCGCTTGCAAAAGCTCACCAGAGCTCGGCTTGTGGACTGTGGACCTTCCCTCATGGGATAAGGGGTGTGGAGGATCATGGGGTCCTTACCTAACTATACAGCCACTCCTTCCAACCAGTTCTGTGTCATTCTGCCCCCATTGTAACGGTGACATCAAGGGAGCTGCCTCTGTGCAGCCGTAGCGGGGTGGACATCCATGATGCGTGCAGACCTTCCAGTGTGGCTGTTTTACGGCCACCCACACTCCAGCCTGTAACCCCGCACTGTCTGCTCTATAAGCAAGCCTAATAAACTCATTGGTTCCCCAGAGTGAATTCTGTGGAACTGTACTTCGGTTTGTCACTGGGACCCTAGCGGGAGGCGTTGTTCACATCTCCCCGAGGGAAGAAATCTTAGCAACAGGATTTCTAGAGCCATTTTGTATGCATCCTATGTCTAGACAGTGGAAAACAGGGCTTATTGTTTTTGTGGCTTGTTTTTAACTCCATGTTGCCTTGAAGGTTCGGCTACCATCAACTTTTTTTTTTTTTGGAAGAGACAGAAAGCGTCCCTTGCTAGCCTAAGCCACAGTTGATTCAGCCAACCTCCCACGGGTGGCTGCTTCGGTGGTTTCCAGTTTGCCTCTGTTTTAAACAACTTGCGGGGTCAGCGGTACAGGTTTCCCTCTAGAATGTGTACGGGCAGGAATCATTTTACATCTGTGTGGAGTCTCCCACCTCAGAGCGGTCTCAACTTACACTTGAGCCAGTGGTGGGTGATTAAGAACAGGCATTTCCCGGCAGCTCGGAAGTGAGTTAGAAGGAAAGTCAGAGAGGAGCAGGTGTGGGCTGCGGAGGGGAGGGGGGAGTGGGGGGGAGTGGGGGAGGGGAGGGAGGGCAGGCCAGGTGGTAGGGCCAGCTCATTTGTTTATGCAGCTCCCTCCCCTTTGTGTTTTCCACCTACCCAGCTCTCCCCACCTTCACGTGTGTGTGTGTGTGTGTGTGTGTGTGTGTGTGTGTGTGTGTGTGTGTGTGTGTTCATTCTTTTCACCACCAGGTCTATTTGATTGAAAGAAAGGCTTTACTGGTTGCTTGGATCTTAGAGGAACCGTGGTAAGATGAAGAAAACAATAATGTAAAGAACCATTTCACAAAAGCAGGTACTCCTTGCTCATGACATCGGGTGCTTCTTTGCAGGGACCTGGGCATCTCTGGGAAAGGTGGGCTTGAACAGAGAAAATGGAGTGACTTCAGATGGGGGTCTGTGCTAATCCTCCTCTGAGGTTCTACCCTAGCTCCTTGAGATGGAAGGGTTACAGGCTGGGGGTTTAGCTCATTGGTAGAGCACTGGCCTGGTAGGTGTGGGCTCTGAATTTAATTCCTAGCACCAAAAAGAAAAAAGAAATGGAGGGATTTTATTAACCCCAGGGTTTCAGAGGAGGACTGGTGATTTCGTCAGTGGCTTGGGTCATGGCGGTGCTGTGGGGCCATGAATGAGCCTGAGTCTCCATCAAGCAGAGGAAGCAGGCGGTCAGCAGGTCACGTCGTTACATCGAAGCATGGTGGCAGGGCAGTGCTTCAGACGTCCCTTGCTATCTGTCCTACCCACGGCCACTGTTCCCTCCCGGGAGCTTCAGGATGTTGGTTTTTCTCTGGCACGTTCTTTGCCACGCCTCCCCACTCTACTGGGAAGTTGTGGAGAAGGGCGGGTTCTCTAAGAATGATTTGTGGATCTTATTCTCGACCCTGTGGCTTGGGAACCAAAGATGAGTTGGCTTGTGCCTGCACCTTAACAAATGTGCTGCGCAGCCCCTAAAAGGGTGGTGCGTTCTCAAGGGTAAACGGGGAGACTGCTGATAGAAGGACCCAGGATCGGGCTTGGGGATGTGGCTCAGTTGACAGAGTGCTTGCCTAACACGTACGAAGCCCTCAGTTTGATCTCGAGGACCACATAAAACTGGGTTTGGAGATGGTGTGTGGATAATCCCAACACTCAGCAGACAGAGGTAGCAGGATTAGGAGTTCAGGGTCATGCTCAGCTACATTTAGATGAGCCCCTGTCTCAAAACAAAACAAAAACAACAAAAGAAAAGAAAAAGCCAAAAACAGCATCATCAAAACCCCCAAGCCCCAAACCCCAAAGAAAAACAACAAAAACCCCACTGACACAGAATTGCCCCGGAGATGCTAGTGGCCACTGGGGCCACTCACTGGAATCCCTGGAACTACCCACCTTTGCCCATTATTGAAGTTTTCTGCTCTATGCTAGGTGACAGCCATGTACGAGGCAGTGACACAAACATACCTAATGATATTCACAGCAGAAGGGCTACAAAGTCAGAGCGGGAACAGATAAAACAGAATCCTGCCTCCTGAAAACCACATCCATTAGAAAAACAAAACCTAGATGGATGCAGCTTCTCTGTCAAGCCAAGGGCAGCAACATGACGATGGACCTCCTGAGGACCAGAAGAGTCGTTCTTCTTGCTTGAGCTTAGCAGACGTATTTCTGCCCAGAATCTTACCCACTTATGGATACCATGTAGGGGATGAGCTTCCCCGGGGGTTGGAGGGCGTGGTTGCGGAGGCTCAGCCATCTCTGAGCAGGAGTGACCTGTCCTCCCGGAGCTGGGACCAAGGGCTCAAGCCAGACTGACCTTATTGCTCCTGGTGCACAGAATCTCTATGAGCAGAGCTTCATCGGTGCCCACGCCCTTCATGGCTTTCTGCAGCTGCCGGGCGGCGTACTCATTGGGGCGATCCAGAAGGGCCAAGGCTGTCTTCTCGAAGTTTCCACTCAGTTCACTCTTGAGCACTTTCTCTAAGTCCTGCAGGAAGCACAGAGCAGGTGACTGCAAGAGTCATGGGAAGAGAAGATGGGTGTAACCCACATTACTATGTGAGTTCCAGGGACAGGACACCTGCCCCAGACAGCCATAGCAATGATCCGGGCAAAAGCCACTTGATCCTGAGGACAGTGGTCACCACAATTGGCCATTCATCTCTCTCCTACGCCTAAATCTGGCCGAGAGGCACCTTGCTCAGGGCTGATGCCTCCCCACCCCGAGATGACTTGCAACAGCAAGAACATGTACAGAATATTTTTGAGTTCTGAGAGCTCCTCTCAGCTAAAGTTCCACACAGCCCCGCAAAGTTGGCAGGTGAACTGATGAATCACATTCTCTCCACCTAATAAACCTCAGAAAATGAAGAATGTGCCCTAAACATTAAGCTAGAAAAGACTCAACAATTTCCACTAATGGTCAGTGTTTTTATGGGGAAGAATAGCAAGACATGTCATAGGGTCATAGGGGAATGAGAATTCATGAAAAACTCAGCAGAGTGCCCACATTCAATGCTCAAAAATAAACAAAAAAAAAAAAAAACCCAAAACTCATGGTAATGTATATTATGTAAGAATATTATTATTCCATCCTGAAAAGAATTTTCTGAGAAAACACAAATTAACTATTTCTCTGACTGATCTCTGAGCTCTGGGTTTGGGAGGAAAAGCTAGAATATTTTATGCAAGGGGGTCTGCTTTGTTCAAAGGGGACTGTGATATGATGCCTCTGTTCCTGCTGTCACGTTCCCTAACACCGCGTCCTACCAAGGCAGGCCTTCCTCAAGACTATACAGTATGGGTCCACTGAGAAATTTGAAATATGTTTTTCCAGGTCAGAGAGGCATTGCTTAGGACGGCAGGGATGCCCAGCTCCTCGGTCTTTTGATCCACAGGCATGAAAGCCAAGCTGGTATTTTCTAGGCTTCTAAGCCCAAGAAGCAGGCACAGGAAGCCCTGACTTCTGTCCTGGCTTCTCTGATAACTAGCCGTGGGTCCATGCTGTCACTGTTCCCAGGGCAGCTGATGTGAGGACTTATGGTTGAGTGTTCAACCTCCTCTGGAGTTTTTTAGCATCTCTTTGGTGGTCTCAGCTCTGTGTATATAGATACACACACACACACACACACACACACACACACACACACACACACACACACACACACGTGTATGGATCTATGTATGTAGCAACAATGAAAAAAGAGTCCATGAATTTGAAAGAAAAAAATGAGGATTATGTAGGAGAGTTGGAAGGGAAAAAAGGGAAAGAGAAAATGATATAATTATGTCATCTCAAAAGTAAAAGAAATAACTTTAAAGTTTTCTGAACCAATAATTTATGAAGAAGTATGAATCTCAAAGACAGCTGAATACAAGAATATTCCTCTATTAGGCCCCACTTGTGGAAACTGGTTTTCAAATCATTGTCCCATCTATAAGTTATTATGTGGGATTAGTCCAAATTGAATGAAAAATGAGTAAATGTAATAGAAAAACAAGGTTAATTAAAAAAAAACCCAGTGAGTTAAGGAGTACTGATTTATAGGCATTAATAGCAATGTTAGTCTTTTGTCTAGTCAATGAAAGGTTCCAAATGCCTTTTTCTCAGCCTGTGTTCTGACATCAACTGTGTTGTCCATCCAGGTGTGTGTAGAGGAGGTTGAGGCTGGCACAGCCCTGCATACCTTGCCGTACTTCTCCTTGTACTTCTGCTTTATCTGCTGCCTCTCCTCCGATGTCCTGATTGACAAGACTTCGATGATGGCCGCCTCATCCGTCCCTGAAGTGTAGAAGACAGACAAAGTTACAGTGATCAAGAAACGCGATGGACGTTGTTGTTATTCAGAGCCTAGAATGGGACTGGATGGGCCTGATGGCTTTACTGTCTGGTGCTGAAAACTGTGTTCTTTCCAATTACACAAATACCCATGGAGATTTCACCCTGAGCGCAGGGCAGTAAGAGGCATGGTTAGAAAGAGAAATGCCTATGGCATGTCCCCTAACTTAACTCCCAGGGGAATGAAAAAAATCTACACAATGTTCAGAGCAGCGTTGGCCAAAATTGGCCAAAGGCAGAAAAATCCCAAAGTCCATCAGGAGACAGATGGCTAAAGAGAATGTGGGGTATCCATATAATAGAGTACTACCATGTGGTGGTATTCTAATTGTACTGAAATGTGATTTTGATTGTATGTTAATAAATAAAGTTGCCCGGGGGTCAGAGCTATTAGAGCCATAGACAGAGTGTGGCGGTGGTGGCACACGCCTTTAATCCCATAGATCTCTGTGTGTTCAGGGATACAGCCAGCATTGGAGACATATGCCTTTAAGATCTGGGGGGCTGTACATACAGACAGTGATGAGGCAGTCACGTGTTTGGGTTTACAACCAATGAGAAGGCAGAATGACTATGAAACGACTTACACACAGGGAAATAGCTCTCTTTTGGGAAGCTGGGACCACCGCAGGAGGAAGGGTGAGATTTTAGCTCTGAGCTCTGACCTCTTGGCTTTCTCTTTTACATTGGTTCTGTATTTCTTATTTAATAAGATGGTTGGTTACATCTACACTACTAGGTCACAAGAAGGACTAGAGTACAGAAAAATATGAATGAACCTTGGAAATGTTAGACTAAGTAAAAGGAACCAATCACAAAAGACCACATATTGTATGATTCTATTCATATGAAAATCTAGAACAAGGTGGGTTAGGCATTGACAAGATGGACAGGGTGTATGCAAAGATGATAGTATTCTAAAATCAGTCAACTATCTATGGCCATATCATGCTGAATACATCCAGTCTCATCTAAAATCAATTAACTGTGGTAGGGCTGCATATATTTATGAATATAGAAAAACACTTGTAGGGGTTTGAAAGAAAATGGCCCCCAAAGGGAATGGCACTAAGGGGAGGTGTGGCCTTGTTGGAGTAGGTGTGGCCTTGTTGGAGTAGGTGTGGTCTTGTTGGAATAGGTGTGGTCTTGTTGGAGGAAGTATGTCACTGTGGGGGTGGGCTTTGAGGTCTCCTATGCTCAAGCTACACCCAGTGAGACAGACCACTTCCTGCATATCATGATATAGAACTCTGCGCTCCTTCCCCAGCACCATATCTGCCTGCAGGCTGCCATGTCCCACCATGATGATAATTGACTGAACCTCTAAACTGTAAGCCACCTAATTAAACGTTTACCTTTGTAAGAGTTGCTGTGGTTCATGGTGTCTCCTCACAGCAATAGAAACCCTAACTAAGACAACATTGAACTGTATATTTTCAATGGGTAAGTTATATGGTATATGAATTCTGTCTCAATCAAGTTATTTAAAGACCTAATAAGGAGTATGTTTTGTTCCTTATCCTGTGGGTACTTATAACTGAATAGATAATATTGAAACCCAAATTGACAGAATATTAATCTTATCCACAAATGTGTGTGTGTGTACATGCACACAAAAGACTTTGACACACCTCTAGTTCCTCACCTACAACCCGGTGTCATGTAGTTCCAAGGTATGTGAGAATGAAAAGAGTCCAAAGAGAGGTCCATGGTGTATATAGCAGCAAGCTGTATACCACAGACAACAAGCAACGTAAATGCCCAAGGACCTGGCACTGTCTCACGTCCACGGAAGGCTTGTGTCCAGGCCACCCTGCAAGGGATGCTCACCAATGATAGAGTATGCTAGGGTCCCACAACAACACTCAGCAGTTGTGAGCTCTACAAGGCACTTCTGAGGCCATCTAGTTCAGAGTCTTAATGATGGATGAGGAAACCGAGGAAGGAACATTTTATTGGTCCCTGTATACATCTTTCTGAACTACAAACACTGTACTAGTTTACCCCAGACTCCCATTAGTCTCTCCCCTCCCCTATCTTCTTCTTGGCATCATATGCTGACCTCCCTTTTGCCTCCCCTGTAAGCTCAGTTTCCAATTGGCCTTTCTGGTTGTGATCTTCCCATTCAGAGGACCACTGCTCTTTGCTAATGTGTTCCAGACCAACCAGTCTAGCCTAGCTCTCTCCTCTGAGTTCCCACCTTATTTCCAGCTGCCTGTAGCCACATTGTCATGGCTTTCCAAGGCATTTCTACTTGCAGGGTATTGTCGCTGGATTCCTTTGCTTAATTCTTAAGTCCATTCTCTGCCTTATTATTTCATTTCCATGCATGACGTCACCTTAGTTAGAAAATCTAAAGTCACCTAAGGGTTCACCCTGTTGCCTTTGCTTTCTGATGCCACTGCCAACAAGTTCTGACTGCCTTTATTGTCCCTGATGCAAGGTCCTGATTCCTGCAATGTCCAGATCATCTCAACCATAACCTAAATATCATGAGTCTTCATGACTCCTAGGGTTGGATCAGAATCCCCAAATGGAACAAGACTTCCTGCAACTTGGTCCCAAGCTGCTCTTCTAGATCCATCTCTATGATGACTAACACAAGGCTCACTTAGCTTATCTTAAAGATGTTTGTTGGTAGCTCAGTTACCTTCATAAGCCTTGAAGAGTCAATTTCCTGTTTTCTGTGTTTTTCCATAGTCAGTTATATCACCAGTGTTAGGACCAGTTAGAGGATTGCAGAGATGTGAAGTTGTGAGTCTGGGGTCTGGGCCCTGGGCAGTGGTCACTCAATGGTAGGGGCCACTGTTGGGTCGTCAATTACATCTATCTTGCTTGAGCCATAACTGGGAGCTTGGGGGAATCGAAGGTTCTGCCAGGTTCACTGACCTGTGTTCCCTATGTCATAGGACTGGAAGTGTGAAACTGACTTAAAAAGGCTGATCTATGACTATTTTTACATTTAGTAATTATGATTTAATTTTAATGTGAACTTATGTTTTGTGAAAGAACAAGAGTTAAGGATACATTGAATAAGAAGGAAATCCTAAGTCAATAATATTTGTATTGGCAAAATTTTGGGGAAGGTCAAACACTGGTGGTCCAGATCCCTTCTAATGGATTATTGATCCTTCAGGGATGTGGATGAGTATGACATAGCCTTGAGTCTCTTTACACAGTGGATTATGGTGGTTCTAGCATATTCTGTGAAAGTGCCTGTTGCATTGTCCTGCACTGATTTACTCAAAGAAAGTGATGCAAAGCTGAGCGCCTGTGAATTTGGGCTGGCATTTCTCCCACTCGGGCCGTTGCCTCTTCTGAAATGGCCACCGCCCATAGAAATGTAATGTGAGCCACAAATCCCTTCATGGGGGGCTTCTGCCATCCAGACCTGTAATATCAATACATTTCCATTGTTTGAAGCCATGTTATTTTGGGGGAGTCATTATGAGATTCTAAGACATGAATACAACCTCATTGCCTCCAGATTTTGTGGCAGGAAACAAGACCTCTCTCTATAACCCCAAACCCGGTGAGTCCTGCAGTTGCTGGTGACTACCTTCAGTTGAAGGGGAAGGGGACTGGCGCAGTGACCTGTGATCGGAGCTGAATGAATGAACTGGTGGGTGAATACTACCCTGCTAGGAGACTGGGATCCTAGGGGACCAGCAAATGGAGCTGACACATTTTGATGGAAGAGTTGGGAGCAGAAGAAGATGGAAAAGCTCTGGCTGGAGGGAAGAAGGTGGAGCCTGGCAAACACCTATGATGTTTTACCTTCACTTTGGCTTTGCATCAGCACTTTTACAACTGTCTTTGGAAAGACCCAGCCAGAACTTAGAAGGAGAGAGCCAGCACAGGGGACAGAGAGCCATGGGGTAGCTACCAGCTTTGTGTCCTTGGACCAGTCATTTCATCTCAGGGGTTGTTTCCACCTCTATAATTCTGGGAAGATTTTAGCTATTTGGGTCCAACCAGAAAAAGAGAAAATCTTAAAATGAGCTCACTTGCAAAAACAGCAGGAGTTAATTGCTGCCACTTTCTAGTTTGGTTCCAACACTGTCATTCCTGCCGTCCCTCTTGGTTTCCTCCAGGGCTTTCTCCTGGGTGACGTGGATCTGTGTATGATGTTTTCGTGACTAACTTTTAAATGTCTGAGTGCCAGAAATCTCACCCCAGAAAAGACTTTGTGTTCTTTGAAATATCATAGAATGTACCCTTTTGGACCTCCTTCTCTTGGGTCTCCTCCTGTCCCTGTCGAGGGCCTCGGTACTGTAGGATTAGGTCCTAGAGCCTCCCATGCCTTCCTGCCTCCATTTGGTATTTTCATGTCTTTCTGAATGAATGAATGAATGAATGAATGAATGAATGAATATTTGTATGTATGAATGGAAGGAGACGTTTGCACACCCTTAGGATAGAACTTGTCTCTGCATTGGTGTGAATTGGGTGTTATACTCAGAGGGACTGTATATAGCAAAGGCCAATAGCAAACATTCTCCTCCACTGTGATGTCACATGCATCCTATATCTGGATAATCAGGGAAACTGAGTTTATTAGAAAAATATCTAGTTCTCTGGATTTTCCTTGCTAGAAGGCTTTTAAACAAGAGAGATCTTAAGATGAACATATTGATATACCCCTGTAATTCAAGTACTAAGGAGGCTGAGGTAAGGGGATTACAGGTTGGAGATCAACCTGGGCTACATAATGAGTTCAAGGCCATCCTGGTTTATGCAAGACCTCATGTTTAAAAAAAAAGTAAAACAAACAGCAGAAACACAAACACAAGAGAGCAGAGTGGTCGTGGGATGGATGGTTCAACACCAGCCTGCCGGTGGGGGAAGGGCAGGACAATGGCACACAGATACCCTTGAAGCCATTTGAGACCAAGTCTCGGGTTGATCCTGGAAGCTGTTTTTGCAAAGAAGAAGCAGTTTGCTGAAGGTGACTTCACTCCAAATTTCACGGTCCATGTGTCTTAGAAGCAGGCTGTGCTGCTGAGCGATTTCCTGTAAACATTTGTAATGGTTTGATGCACTCGGGCCAGGCCACAGTGGTTCTGGGAACGATTTTAAAATTGAAAAAAAAAAAAAAAAGACCCTCCGTGCTGGCTGTATGGGGAGTAATTACATAGCTCTGTCAGAGCCAAAGTGATCACCAGCCTGGAAGTACCTGTGGGCATCTGTGGTATGCTTTCCCAGCAATTTTCTGGAGAGCAACTGGATGGTGTTGGAGTTTTGGCAGGATGGGACCACAGTGTTTGAAGGCCACAAGGTTCCGTGTTTCAGATAAACAATGCTAAACTGGTAGCAGAAACTCCAGCCCACGCTGACCTGGTTGACCCCAGAAGGCTGTGTTCTTAGATCTGGTGCTTGAGGCCAGGCCCCACATTCTCACATGGTGGGGAAGAAGGGCAGAGAGGAGGCGAGAGAGATGATGAGTGGGGCTGAATCCTGTCTGCCTGAGGGGACCACTGGCCTACACTTGTTCTCTGCATTCCTTTCCAGAGGTCATTGTGTCAATTACCACAAAGTCAATGCCTTTGAACAATACAGCTTGCACCCCTACAGTTCTGGATACTGGAAGTCTGAAGTCACTGTGTCAATAGGTCCAAAGTCCTGGTTCTCCCAGCTTCTTGGTATTCTTTGACCTGTGACTATATGAGACCTGTCTTCACATGTCCCCAACCCGCCGCCATCTTTCTCTTCTACCTTTTTGGAAGACACCGTCATTGGATTTAGAACCTACCCAGGTAACCCAGGGGGGCTCTCTTCCTAGCATCCTTAACTGAATCACATCTCCAAAGACCCCTTTTCCAAATAAAGACAAGACCACTCTCCGAGATTCTGGGGTCCTAAAGCTTCTAGAGGCCTCCCTTCAACCTTTTGTGATGGAGAACAAGTTGGGCATGCTTAATGCACAGGCTGACCTGATTGGATCTGAGCACACTGCTAAGGAATGGCTTAATGGTCACCATGAAGTGAGGGCCAATGGGGTGCTGTACACAACACATACTGGTAGTTACATAGTGTGGGGAAACAGTGCTGGGCTGAAAGTTAGGACCCGAGTTCTAGGCCAGAAGCATGCTCTGAAGCGGTTGAGCAGTTTAACCTCCGTGCACCTCAGTGGACCTGAGCGTGACCCTAAGATGTGGTCCCAGATTCTGCAGTGTTCTTACTGAGACCTATTGGAGATGCAACGTGGACAGTCCCCTGCTTCCCCATATCTCTCAAAGACAGCTTGATAACTAGTGTGCCTTTGAACATTTGAGAAGCCATGAATTAGACCACCTCTGGTGGCTTTGGTATCTAGGGGGCTGTTGGTCCACACACAGTTACATTAAGGCATTCTCTTTGGTGGTGTCAGTTCATGGTGATGACTCCATGAAGAGTAAGTCTAGGCAGAAGCTGGTGGAGGATGTGGTGTCTAGAACTGGGTTGGGGCAGCAGGGGAGGCCAGGCTGAGAAAGAGTGTCAGGGTTAGGGATAGGTTGGGGACCGTTTTGAGTTGCCCATAACCCAGATTGTCCACATACTTAGGGCATCATAAGACCCCAGGAAAGCAAAAGTGCCCCAAACTGGAATCTAAGTTTTGCACCATTGGGAGGAATAAACTATCATTTTACGAGGGACCATTACACTTTTGACTTGTCTGGGTGGAAATGCATGTAATCTTTGCTCTGCTCGGGGGCTTCCAGCCCTCCATTCAACCCATCAGTTACTGACTAATCATGACTAATCACCCTACTTGAAGGGTGATTGATACACATCATAATATTCTATAAGTACAGAGTACATGCCAAATTTCAGAGAATCAATACAAAACAAAGGAAGACAAATAAAAACAGAATGTAAAAACCTCATTCATAGTTTTGTCAATATTGGGGTAAAATGATAATTTTATATAAATTGAGATTAATGGGACTGTATCATCAAAATAATACATCACGTATTCTTTTTTCTTTTAAAATTTGGCTTCTTAAAAATTTAAAGTAAAACTGGGTGTGGTGGCACCTGCCTGTAACTCCAGCATTTGGGATGTAGAGGCAGGAAGATCAGTTCAGGCCAACCTTGGTTATATAATGAGTTCAAGGCCAGCCTAGACTGCATGAGCCTCTGACTTCAAAACAAAAACAGAGCTGGGAAGATTGCTCAGTGGGTAAAGTCCTCGCTGTGTTAAGCATGAGGACTTGAGTTCAGATGCCCAGCCCCCATGACAAACATGGTGTAGACCTGAAATATCGGTGCTTGGAAACAGGAGCATCCCGGGGCCTTGCTGGCCACCCAGTCTAGCCAATCAGTGAGCTCCGGATTCAGTGAGAGACCCTGTCTCCAAACAAGGTAAAGAGTGGTTGAAGAGGACACCCAACAGCAGTTGTTGGCCTGCACATCCACGACTGCACATAGCTGCAGATGAAACTTGCCATGCTGCATGGGATGGCGCACGCCTATGATCCCAGCACTGAGCAAGGAGAATGGCCACCAACTTGAGGCTATCCTGGGCTATACAGCAAGGCCTTATCTCAAAGAAACATTTGAAGTTAGTAAAGGGATCATATGACTCATGTGACCATTGGAGAATTTCACTCTAGACATTTAAATTCTGTTCTGGCAGGACTGTCCCACAAAGTCTTGAAGGCAAATTATCAATGATGTTTACTTCGGCGTGTACTTGTCAAAAGAGGTGAGAGTCAACACTTTCAACCAAATCAAAGACCTCTCGGATGGCCAAGTGTCTAAAGGCTCCACCCTTGTTTCATAATTTTATGATTTGGGGCAAATATTTAACACCAACCCTTTCATTCTCACCTGATAGTCTTTATAGTATATACTTTACAGGCTTGTTGGGGAGACTAAAAAGGACAATGATGGATGAGTGACACTGAGCTAGGCAATGGTCACACAGGCACTCTACACAGCAAGAGGCACCCTTGGTTCCATTCTGAGGTCACATACAAAAGGGACATGAGAACTCTGATTTTGGTATTCAATAGATGCTCAGCCCAGATGTTTTAAAATGAATTCTAGGTGAGGAAGTAAGAGTTCACGTTAAGCATGCTACATCATTACCGTACCCAATAACATACTCCTGTCTCCATCCCATGGCCAGGCATCTGGACTTCACCACAGAGCATCAGGAAAGTGTCAGCTGCCTGGAAAGTACCCTGGGGTTCCCTTCCACTCAGCAAACCTCAGGCATAAACATCCTGAGGCTTCCATAAAGGCCTTTCCTGGACAGCTGTCTGCCTGACATGAGACTAGAGATGAGCCGCAGCAGGATGTAAGCAGGAAGCTGCAACCTCTGTGCTTTTCTCTGATTTCCCCAAGCTGTCACTGCTGAGCAGGCCTGTCTACTTCTAGATGCCTCTTCCTTGCCCTGCACTCAGCTCTTGTCAGATCTGATCCCTCACGACCTCCCACGGAAAAGGCCAAAGTGATTGAGACAAGATTAAAATAGCATAAGCTTCGATCCTAATGAAGTTCCCCATAACTTCAAGGTCAAAGTAAATGCCACAAGATTTAGCTTCCAATACCCTTCAAAGTAATGAGCCCCTATGGTAACTTTGAGACCTCAAATAAAGAAGTTACTAGAAGAGATCAACTTGAATTAGCTTACAATGCATAGGACAGGTAGGTCACCTTCCTGCCACTATGGGAAAGTTGGTCATGACATCAAGCTTAATCAATTTCAAAAACAAATAAATGAACAAAATTATTTCATACCCATTCCTTTGCAGGCTTTGTACAGCTTTTTGGCATCTCGGTCTGCATCAAAACCCTGAGGGCTTTTCTCTTTGGCCTGGAGAGGAAATAATTCAAAAGGGGATAATGCGGTCATTCTTAAATTAGTTTTGCTGGAAGAGAAGACCAAGCCATCATCTCAAGAAAGGACAGATGCCACTCTACAAGTGGATGTTGGTGGAAATCAACTTGGGTAAGCTTTGGCCCCAGAGAGATGGCTGGTACTCTTTGGGGCCAGAGGGCCGTGGGTGATCAGGGGAGAAGAGTCTCCTCTGCTCTCAAGGACAATTGCTCAGGCCAGCTCTAAGGTAAATGATTTTCATATCAACCCATCTTTGTGTGTCCTTTTCTCTCAAACAAAGCATAACACAGTTGGCCACTGTCCCTGGAGTTTCTGTCCTCCATGACAGATGTAACAAATACATCTAGGGAACGGGGTTTGCAGGTCAAAGCTGAGGAAATCTTATTATAGATTCTTTCGCTGGCCTGGATTGGTGCCATCCACACAGGAAGAACATCATTAAGTTTGCCGGAGGCTCTATGTGAACCGACAAGAGAGTAGTTTTTAGTTTTTTCATTCTCTTGGGAGAGAAAAGTCCTATTTATATATTGAGCTGTATCTTGTATTTCAGTCTTTGGAATTAATGCATGCACTGATGAGGTCTTTTACGTATGCTGGTAGCCTTATTGTTTGCATAATAATAAGCTTGTGAGTGTATAGACTTTGCTTCACTCAGTCAACAGACTTTGTTATTTTAAAAAGACATTTTCATTAGCACTAAACTGGAAAACCAATATCATTTGCATAAATAACAGATCACCATAGAAGTAAACAGATCGTAACCAGGTGGTGGTGGTGGTGGTGGTGGCGCACACCTTTAATCCCAGCACTCAGGAGGCAGAGCCAGGTGGATCTCTATGAGTTCAAGGCCAGCCTGGTCTACAGAGCAAGATCCAGGGCAGGAACCAAAACTATACAGAGAAACCCTATCTCAAAAAACCAAAAAAAAAAAAAAAAAAAAAAAAGGAAACAGATCATGATTAAAAATGTAAAGGTAGGCTAAATCGCCATTCTTCAGCTAATAGCCTTGAGTACACCTGAGTTCTCTCAACTCTTCGCCTTGCCTCACTCCACAAGGCATCTATGTATGTCCTTCAATGAAGCTGGCCTAGGGGACAGGGTCCACATCACCTTCACTCTACTTTCACTCCTTGCACAGAGGAAATGAAGAGCAAACTGCCCAAGGGACAACGGGCATGTGGCATTTATCTGCTTAGCATCACTGTTTCTTTGGTGGATTGCCCCACCTCCCACCCCCCCTTTCTCGATATCTCAAATGAGATTGTCAGTCATGAGGCCTGGTCGGCATCATTATTGGTCAGCAATATGGACACCTGCCCTGTCACTCTGGCTGTCATGACTGGTTCAGGGCTAAGGATGCAGCTGAAAGAGAGTCATTCAGTCCTTGCCTTAGTCAGTATACCGAGAGAGGAATGAGACGCCCTCTACTGGCCCGGTGGAGCAGAGTGGCTCTTAACTGAAAGCTGATGCCCATTACATACCACAGCCAGAAAGTGTGAGAGAGAAGATGAGAGCAGGACCTAGTGAAGAGTGAGGAGAATGGGCGGAGGAGGAGGAGGAGGAGGGCAGGAAGAAAACTACCCCCAGCATGGCAGTGCCTGGATCCTTGACTTTCTGTCTCATCAATGACAACCATAAACTCACCCTTGGCTCAAGAGAATATGATTTGGGTTTCTGCCCTTGTGACCCTAAGTGGCCTTACCAAGTCTGTGGTCTGACAGAGGTTTCCACGAATGGAGAATCATAGGTTCTGAGAGTCAAAAAGGGGGGCCTTTGGGCCACCCCTTACCTTTTTTGGGTTATGAAGCCATGGTCCATTATTTAAAAAAAAATAATTCCTATAGAATTTTCTTACATTTACTTACATATGAATTGATTTTATGTATTAACTGGTTATGTATTAATTAACTGATTGATTTTGTTTGTATATGTTTGTGGGTGTGGGCAGGTGAGTCTATGTAGAGGACAGGATGATTTGCAGTGTTCTTTCCTTCCATCATATAGGTCCTGGGGACCGAACTCAGGCCACCAGTCTTGGTGACAAGTGTCTTTACCCATTGAACAATCTTGCCAGCCTGACGTGACCTGTACGAAAGTATTTGAAACAAGCCAGGAGGTGGGCTGGCATGCTTAGAACACCCACTACATACCAGCCAGTTTATAGACCTTCTTTTGTTATCTATAGAGAATGGACACTACACTCACAGTGTTCATTATAGGCAAGGACACCTGGCCTCAGGCCATGCACCATCCTGCCGCTCAACCCACTTATGCCTCAGGCCTTCTGCTCAGGCAGAGGACGGACATTCCCACTCTCCTTATCCAAATCTCACATGGGGTTGAGAAAGCTTGCCTGCTGCTGTTGGAGGCTTGTTGGCAAGAACTGCCACAGTATTTTCAGGACTCACTACCAAGCGATGCTCAAAAGTGATGAATTCCAACATGATGTTATCAGAGTATTCAGGCAAATGTGGGGTTCTTTGAGCATGGTTCCCATGAGGCCACACAGACATACTCATGGAGCCCACTCTGCTTTTGAAGAGAAGTATGTGTGTATGTGCACATGATGTGTGCATGTGTATGCCTGCTTGTGTGTGTAAGGAGGGGCATGGATTTGCCATGTCACCAGTGAGGAGGATAGAAGTCAGCCTCTGGAGAGATGGCTCAGCCGTTAAGAGCACTGACTGCTCTTCCAGAGGTCCTGAGTTCAATCCCCAGCAACCACATGGTGGCTCACAACCATCTGTAATGCAATCTGGTGCCCTCCTCTGGCCTGTATACATAATAAATAAATAAATCTTTTTTTTTTTTTTTTTAAAGTCAGCCTCTAGTGTCAGCCTTCACCTTTCACCTTGTTTGAGACAGGTCTCTGTTTGCCATTTTGCTCCCCGGTTAGCTGGCTGGGAGCGTCCCTGGAGTCTTTCCTTTCGGTCTCCCATCTTGCCATCGGAGCGCTAGTGTTACAGATGGGTGTTACTGCATTTGATGTTATGTAGATTCTGGTGATCTGAACCCAGGTCTTCACACTTGTGAAGCAAAAGCTTCACCCACTGAGCCATCCCCCCAGCTACCCACCATAATTTTTTTTTTTAAATCAAACTCCAGGAAAAGGTGATTCTCTGCAGGTGGAAGTAGGAGTCTCAGAAGAGCACATGGTGTGCCTTGCTCTTCTTCAGGGGCAAGCCTGAACCTGGACAGCAGACTTGTCTCTTCAGGGGTCCATTCCAGACTGTTCCACGGGTCCTGTCACCCTCACCAGCACTCAGCACAGGTGTTAGCTGTCCCACTTCAAAACTAAGAGTGGAAGCTGAACCCAGGGCTTTGGAAATGGCTGTGGAGCTTAAGCTCTGCCTCAGGTCCCTATGTGTCAGGTCACACTTTGCAAGTGCTGGCAGGGTGGCTTACCCTCAAAGGGATGCCTTTTCCTCATTGGCACAAAGAATTTTCGAGGGCTATCAGAGGTCATGTGAAGATTTGTCTGAGACCTCCTGGTCAGGGAACGGCTGAGTGGGAACTAAGGCTAGAATCAGGACTTTCTGACCATGGAAGATAGTAAATGACATCCCTGTCCCCAGCCCTGTCCTGTTTACAAGTATCATGGAAGTATAACTGAGGGATGGGAAAAGCATCCCCTGTACTTGCCCAACAAGTTCAAGGGCAAAAGCTGATTCAAAGTGTCATTTGGTTCAAATTATGATACCTGGGGACTCAGTGAGAGGGTATGGAACCACGTGTTAGGAGTTGAGGTGATGCTCCATGTGGTGGTTTGAATGAGTATGGCCCCCATAGGCTTGTAGATTTGGATGTTGGGTCATCAGGGAGTGGCACTATTTGAAAAGGATCAGGAGGTGTGGGCTTATTGGAGGAAGTGTGTCACTGGGAGTGGGCTTTGAGGTTTTAGAAGCCCATACTAGCCAGGCCCAGGCTCTCTTGAGCCCCCCCCTCTCGTGTGTGTGTGTGTGTGTGTGTGTGTGTGTGCGCGCGCGCGCGCGTGTGTGTGCGTGTGTGTGTGCGCGCGCGTGCGCGCACTTAAGTGTCAGGAAGTAGGTCTCAGCAATTGCCCCAACATTTGACAGCATGCCTCCATGCTTCCTGACCTGATGATGATGATGGACTGAACCTCTGAAACTGTAAGCCAGCTCCAATTGCATATACTCCTTTATGAGAGTTCTTTGGTCATGGTGTCACTCAGCCTCCACATTCAAAGCAGGCAGGGTATCTATCTGTGCGCTCACTCAAAACCTGGGGAATATGGCCACCCCGGGCCGGCTTCCCCTGACACCAGCTCTGTCGCTGACCCACATTCCTCCCCTGTGAGACGTTCTGCCCCATGACCTTGGTTCCAAGACTGGAATCTCCTGGCTGACAAAAAGGACCAGGCCCCGAAGTCTGATGCCCATTTAACAATGAACAATGGCTATGGCAATGCCTGCTACCTGCACATTCCAGAGGAAAGTCTGCACCAGTGTCTCCAGAGGAGCCCCAGGACATCCTAGGATCAACCAAGGAGCCACTGACAGACGTCAATACCGTCATTGTGGAGACAGACCGAGCCACACAGAAGAAAAATCCAAACAGGCTGAGATTCCCTCTCTTTCTCCTTCCTCCTCACAGCAGTAGAACAGTTACTAAGACCCTGGGACTTCTTTTCGGGTGTGGATGCCTGGCATATAATGTAGAGTGGACTCCATGGCAGAAACACCATCACTGGCAGGGAAGGACAAGGACCCAGGCCCAGCTCCTTATAGGAATCGCTGTTAGCCATGCTGTCCTTTCCAACCTAGTTGAGAAGAGAATAGAGTCTTGTTCTTTGTAACAGCAGGGTTAATGTTGTTCCCTGTCATGATTTAAGAGAGAGAGAGGGAGAGAGAGAGAGAGAGAGAGAGAGAGAGAGAGAGAGAGAGAGAGAGAGAGGCAAAGGGGAAGGGGAGAGGGAGGAAGACAGACAGAGAAGAGGAGGGAAAGGGGGGAATCTC